TTGCATGCTGGAATTTGGAGGGTATTTCGCGTATTGCTAGCAAGATTGGAGTTCCCCTTGCGGCCGATAGCTTGACAGAGCAAAAAACCAGACTGATTTATGCTCGCATATGTGTTCTGGTTGATCGTAATGCCACATACCCAGAGGTGATCAAGGTGTCTTTGGATGGGGATATCGATTGCCTCAAAGTGCAATATGAATGGAGACCGTATCCTTGCACCCACTGTAAGTCTTTAATGCATTTAACTGCATTATGCCCTACTATTCCATAAAAGGATCGAATTGCTCAAGCGAATGATGGGAACTCTAAGCGCGGAAGAAGAAATAGTAGGAAACCTCATTTTCGTTCTTTCTCTAAAAACCCGACTGTTTCTACTATTCCGGAAAAGACGGCTGTTCAGCCCATAATTTCTGAGCCTTCTAATATTAATGTGGTTCAGTCCATCAGTTCTGAGCCCATCAAAATTGCCTTAGACAATATTCCCCCAATTAATGCGGAAATTAATGAGTTAGGGATGACATCTCTATATCAGCCTCATTCCCCCAAACGGTATAATCCACCAACCTGCTCTTCTCCATCAAAATTTCCACTCTCGGATGACAATTTGGCAAATGACATTCCAAACCTTAACTCACCTCAAGAGGCTGCCGCTTCTTCTTCAAACGGTTCACTACCCAAATACAGTCACCAGGGAAAAGACATCATTTCACCAAACAAGTTTGGAGCCCTTAATATCGAGGAAGACACTAGTGTCCAATCTGATGTTTTAGTTGGGCCAGTCAATGTTATGTTAGCTAATAATGCTGAAGAAGATCCGGATAAAATCATCAAAGCTAATGAGAAGGTCAAACCTTTATATGCTAATGTGGTTTCTAAGAAGTCTGCTAAGGGGAAGCAGGTCAAAAAAGCCCAAATCCAATTCAATTCCTAATGACTTTTCCACCCATTGCGACGTGGAATATAAGGGGGTTCAACTGTCCTGATAAAGTGTTGAGCTGTAAGCGTCTAATTGATTCCTTCAAATTAGACATGGTTTGCATCTTGGAGAATAGGGTTCATGCTCACTTGATTCATGACCCTTTTTTTCAGTCTTCTCACTCTCTTTTTGCCAACGAAGAGAGTTGTCACAATTTTACTCTCTCTCAGTCTAGGAGAATTTGGGTAAAATGGAATGCAGATAAGCTGAACTTTATCCCTAAATTTGTCTCTACTCAAATTATTTCCGGGACTGTTATGGTTGCTAATTCTCCTCTTATGGAAATTTCTGTGATTTATGCTTCTAATAGCAGCTTAGATCGTAAAGATCTATGGGAATCTATTGCCAAAGATGCCCCATCTGGAAATTTTCCTTGGGCTCTCATTGGGGATTATAATTATTGTAGGTATGCCTCTGAAAAGTTGGGGGGCACGCCCATTACTCAATCCAATTTGTCTGATTTCAATAGCATGATTTTCAACAATAAGCTTGTGGACTTACACTCTGTTGGTTGCAAATTTACTTGGTTCAATCAAAGACCTGATAATCCCATTCATATCAAGCTTGACAGAGTCCTTGTTAATGATGGCTGGTTGAATGCTTTTTCAGACTCATATTGCTCTTTCCAAAGTCCTTCGTGTTCGGATCACTGCCCAATTATCCTTCATCCGGGTTGCCAAAACCTAGTTTATCACAGGTTTTTATTTAAAAATTATTGGCCTAATATTGATGATTACTGGGGCCATCTCCTTCATTTTATTAATCTACCTTGCTTGGGTAATCCTCTGATCCATCTTTGTAACTCCTTGAGAGTTTTAAAAAGTGCTATCAAAAAGGAGAAATGGGCTTCTTCCACATTTGTCAATAGGCATCTTGATTCCCTTCACAAAAAGCAAAGAGATTTATTGGATTGTTTGCAAGCTGATCCTCTCAATTCTATCCTGAATCATGATTACAAGGTTAATAATGCTGCCTTGACCAACTTTATTTCTTTGCAAGCTTCATGGATTATACAAAGAGCCAAAGTGAATTAGCTAAAGCATGGTGAAGACGATCTTAAATTTCTTTACGGCAAAATCAAAAGAAGATTGGGTAGTTCTAAATCCATTGCTAATCTGATGGCATGTAACCCGAACTCCACTAGAGCTGAGGTGATTTCTTCTATTCTTCACTACTTTCAGGATTTATACAACCCTCCTCTCCCTAATTGTTTGGATATGGATATTTTTCCTATAGGCTCGGCTTTTCCTGATTCCCATGTCAGCTTGATTGTCTCTACTGTGTTGGATGATGAGATTAAGCAAGCTATTTTTAAAGGGTCTTCCACTTCTGCTCCCGGTCCAGACGGCTTTAACTTCCATTTTTATAAGTCTGGGTGGCACATCCTTGGCCCTATAGTCTATAGGGCTATCAAATATTTTTTCCTGAAAGGTTACTTACCTAATGGGGTTAAAGCCACTGCTCTTGCTATCATTCCAAAACTTAAAAATGCTGCTAGTATTAATGAGTTTAGACCTATTGCATTGTGTAATGTCTTGCATAAAATCATTGCTAAAGTGATGGCAGAATGTCTCAGACATGTTATTAGTTTGATTGTTAAGAATAATCAAGCTGGTTTTGTGAAATCAAGAGTATCTACTGATAGCATTCTTCTGGCTAGTGATATTCTCTATTATTTTGGTAAAAGAGGAGGTTCCAAACTTTTCTGTGCTAAACTTGACATAAAAAAAGCCTTTGACTCTGTCTCTCGGGAATTTTTGTTGGCTAGGTTAATTCAAAAAGGGATTCCTAAGGAGTTTGTATGCTGGGTTAAAGCTTGTATCACAAATGTCAATTTTTCCATTATTCTTAATGGGGCTTTAGAGGGCTATTTCTCTACCACTGCTGGACAAAGGCAAGGATGCCCCTTAGTCCTTATCTTTTCTGCTTGGTGATGGATGCTTTTTCCAACCTCCTTGAGGGGAGAGGTTTTAAAGGTATTACTTATGATAATTTTTCCCTTACTCATTTGCTTTATGCAGATGATGTTATGATATTTGGTGAAGCTTCTTTAGACAACTGCAATATTCTCAATTCTGTCCTTAGAGACTTTGCCGATTCCACTGGGCTCCACATAAATCATGACAAGTGTTCTATTATGTTTCCCAAGCATCAAGTTAATCAGCTTGACATTTGTAATGCCCTGGATATTCACAACATTGTCAATAAAATTAATTATCTGGGAATTCCCCTCTCTTTTTATAGGCTTAAAATTGAGGATTTTTTTGCCTCTTTTGGATAGTATTAACATGAAATTGAATGGATGGAAGGCAAATTTGTTGTCGTTTGCTGGGAGGTTACAGTTCTTGAAATTCACCATTCAAAACACTATTGCTTATTGGATTAGGGGATCTATTTTACCCAAATCTGTTTATAAGTTTTTTAAAAAGCAGAGTTCTCGGTTCTTGTTCTTTGGAGAGACTACTTCTTCTAAGAAACTCCACATGGTGTCTTGGGACAACATTTGCAAGCCTAAACATAAGGGAGGCCTCGGTATTCCTTCCATTTTTGCTATGCAATTCACTTATAATTGCTCTGTGATTTTCAGGATGTATAATGATTACACTCCTCTCTCTACTTGGCTGTTGCATAAATATAGAAGCCCATGGAAACCGCCTCATAGTAATGATTCAAAACTTTGGAAATGCATTTGTAAAACAGCTTTAGAAGCTAAATCCTGTTTTAGATTCAATATCACGTCTAATGCTTCTATTTCTCTGCTTTGGGACCACTGGTGCCATAATTTAACCCTTTTCGAATATACTGGGGATGCCTCTTTGGAGTTTATGCCAGACAGTTTTTTACATGAATTAGTGGCCGGTGCCACATGGACTTTGCCTAGGCACTTTTCTGCTTTGATTCAAAACACCCTTAATGCCATCTCTATTTCGGATAGTTCTGGGCCTTCTCTATGTTGGAAAAACAAAAAAGAACTATAAATTCAGACATTTTATTGATGAGTATTATTATGAGTTAACTTATTGTGGCTGGTATAAAATGATTTGGCATAAACGAAACATTTTAAAGCACACAGTTTTTGTTTGGCTGGCTCTGGTGGGGGGTTTGAAGACTGGAGAGGCCCTTAATTTTAGACAGATTCATGTTCCGTTATTATGAAATTTGTGCTATTCTAACACTGAATCTGTTTCTCATTTATACTTTGATTGCCCATATACATTCTCTATTTTGAAATCCCTCATTCCTGGGAGCAGCTGTTTCCTTTTGAGACCTTCTATTATGCAGCTGTATGATTGGTTATCTGATGTTTACGGGGAAAATTCTGAGAAGTTGAATTTTTATAAAATGGCTGTTGGCTGCGTTATATATTATTCCTGGAGAGAACAAAATAACAGAAGGTTTGGAGGTAACTTTCAATGTGTTACCTCAATTTTGCTTTGTATCAAAAGGACTCTTTTTGAAAAAGTTTCAAAATGGAATGGTGGAATCCAATTGCTAGAAGAATTATAAATTGGCAGGTGTTTCTTTTTGGCCCTTCTGTCCCGTCGCTTAATGCCTGCAAAATTGCCATGTCTGGACAATGATGAATCTCCCAAAGCAGGCACCTTGGATGGCCTCCTGGCAACCAGGTTTCCAACATCTCGACGTTCATTTTTCAAAATCTGAGTCCAGACTTTTGGTTGGGGAGATCTATTGGCTCTTTCTGGTTCATTTCGGGACTTGATTTCTCTCTGCTGCTTCAGGTTTTGAAGCTGTTGCTCTTCCTGCTTCTATTCTACAGAGGTTTAATATCCAAATTTTGTAACTACCACGTTTTTGGTTCTTTATCCCTTACTTTAGATATGTAAAAGGTGGTATAGTTGGGGTTTATTTCCTTTTTTATGCATAAGTTTTGTTTCTACTTATGTGGTCTTGCTCTTACATGTAACATCTTTCTTGTTACCTTTTTTCATCAATGAAATATATGGGCTAAGGCTCCAAATTTTCCAAAAAAAAAAAAAATCGTGTTCGTACTACTTAATAAAACCACACGATTCTGAGCCTGAAGGAACAGTGAGGTCATCGGTAGTCGCAAACGATGATATGCTCCTCTTGCCACCACTCACTGATCCTCTCTACCCCAGTGAGAACAAAAAGACAAACCTCATGCCACCGCCGCCGCTTCCGCTTGACTGTATTTTTCGCCGCTGGAAACTGCTATAATGATCGCAGTGAGAGCGACAAGAGCGGCTGCTCGTCGGAGTTCGTTCAGAATATTCTGCTTCGATCCCTCGCCGGATTCCTCTCTCTTGCTTTAGTTTCGTCCAATTATCCTCCGCTCGCGGCGGAGTCATTGCCTTCTCCGGCTGAGGTGTGCCAGGAAGAAGTTGCGGCGGGGGATGAGGTGTCCTCTGCGTCGGCGACCAACGACGATCTCGTGGAGGAGGCGTGGGAGGTCGTTAATGAGAGCTTCATTGCCGGCGCTGGTCGCCGGGCTTGGTCGCCGGAGAAGTGGCTGGTATCTTAAATGTTTGGGTTACGACCCAACTCTTTGCTTGAAATTAGAAAATATTCTTTGAGCAAATGGCGAATTTGTTAGATTTCATAGCTCGGTTTGATTTAGGTAGAAATCAATTCGAGTTTTAAACTCTACAAACTTCTTAAAAACGCTCAAAGGTAATGTTTTGATTTTCACACATGAAACGACGGGGCAAAAATCATCATTTTGTATTCACAAATGGGAAAGAGTAGTTGGAATGAAGATAGAACGCTGATTTTAGAGAGAATTTTTTGATGGAGAGGCCAAACTTGATGTAGTGGATCGTCGGAAGATGATACCTGCAAGAAGGATTTTAGGATTCCCAATCCAGGGAAGAAGAAGAGAGCTTTCTCAAAGCTTCAAAAGAGTGTTTTTATCATTCAATGTCTCATTCCTTACAATATCTTGAATATATAGGCATAATAGAATACTCTAGAACCATACACCTAAGCTAATAAAGGATAGACTATTCCTAAGGATTTATTCTACTAAAGATGTTACTACATCATACTCCCCTTGCGTCCAAAAAGGCTCGACTCCGTCGAGACGAGTCATCGGAGAAGGGGTGGAATGTAGCAATCCTCCTGGGTCAAAGATTTTGCATCTCTCGGTAAAAGTGCCATCTTTAGATTGTTTTTGCTTAGTATCAAAGGATTTGAAGCGGTTGCACTCTTGGAATAGACCCTTGAGTTTGGATTGCTGAGATAGTAGCACTTGAACTACAATTTTAAGTAGAAATTTGAGGGTCTGTGCCAAGTCCTTGCAGGATTGTAATGAGAGCTGCTCATAATTAATGGGGCAACATATCTTCACCTTCTCTTCTTCGGTCAATCTATTGTGAACATTAGGTGCAATTTCAGCCGTCAATCTCGGAAAGCATTCAACTAATTTAAAGAAATCCCCAGCTGACAAATAGGCCAACATTAGAATATTACATGAAATAAAACTCATTTTCTCCATAAAATGAAAGAGCCTCTCTGTCTGCTCGAAACAATCCATCTTGCTATATGCTGTCAAAATAAACCTCTCTCTTGATTGTAAAACTATGCAGTTGCCTGTATTGTTTGTCCACTGGCACAACTGAATCATCGGAGAGCTGTACATGAGTACTTCTTTCCAGAACACATTCAACAGCACCCTTGCCAAGAAGACGATTAGCTCCAGTTGGCTCATAGATTTATGAACTCCGTCAAACTCCAATGTGGCAATCCTTTTTGATCTCTTTATCCACCAGTCACAGCATCCTAGCTTGACCGTGTTATGACCAATTGAATGTTCAGCAGCAAATTTTGAATCATAAAACCTGCTTCCGATCTTTGTATCAGGAATTCCCATTTTCTCAACCAACACTAGGGTTGCATTTAAGATTTTAACAGCATCAAAAATCCCCATCCTTTGCTGGTTTAACTTAAGAAATACTAGGATGAATCCACTAGACTTCACAGGGCATCCAGTAATACTTGTTGACGGAATACAGAGTTTCCACTCCTGTGGCGCCAAAGAAGCCCATAGCTCAAACATTCGCTCATTGAGAATTTCAGAATTCAAAGCGCCCTTAAGAAGAGACGTGTGTCGTGGTTTTGGAGTATTCCACTCCTTTTTCTCTTTGCTGACAGCATAGCAGTTTCCGATAAAGAACTCCAGCCGTATAAGTGTCTCAGCGTTGAACCATGATTTGCCGATCAGTGATGCAGCATCGCGGTCACTGCATGAGGTGAGGAAATAAAGCACGATCTCTCGGACGTTCTCAAGAGCTTGGTCGGAGCAAGGTGGCAACGGAACCCTAGTGAGGCATTTTATCAAACAGATTGCGTGTAAGGCTGGCTGTGTCAGGAGATTATTTTTCTCGGTGGAAGACGAGCACGGTCGAGGGAAGGAAGATT